CTAGATACAGATCTCAAGGTAGGATAATAGATACAGATCTTAATGTAGGATACTAGATACAGATCTTAATGTAGGATACTAGATACATATCTCAAGGTAGGATAATAGATACAGATAATAAGGTAGGATACTAGATACTGATCTCAAGGTAGGATACTACATTCAGATCTCAAGGTAGAATAAGAATTATTCCTGATTTGGCTACGTAGTAAATCCGACAAGAATGTGGTATAATACTAAATCCAGATTTTAACCTGTCTATTTTACTAACTTCTCATTAATGAATTTTATTGTTTTGATTTCAGGGTTGGATTCCACAATCTGTGATTGATAAGGCTCTGTCAGGAGCTCAGTTTGAATATATTCAAAATGTTAGAGAAAGAGCAAAAATTCTCAAGTAAGAAAGCTGTATTAAATATTGGGATTCTACTTATTATATATTTTTCTAGTTTCTATTTATTTAAATTTTAACATATTCATCTTTTTTCTTTTATTCTTCTGTGAATCTATTCCAAAAATGTTTACCTGTGTTTCTAAATTTTATCATTTCAACCATAGATAAAGATAAATTGCGCATATGACGACATTTTTCATCTTGAAAGATATAAATGCACAGAGATGTTTTAAAGATATTCCTATTATATAGATTAACTAGGTCGTTTGTGAACATTGGCTGTTCTTATGTCATTGAGTACTTGTGGTGTACATGAGTTCTGTAGAGAGAAATTTAAGTTAATTTAGTCCTTCTCATGTCCTTCTTCAGTTCTCGTCAATATGATATATTGCTCAGTGAAATATTGTTGTTCAAATAGTTCCATTCCCGGAGTTATTTCACACTCTATTATGATGAAATCCATTAAAACAGCAAACCACCCCGCTTATCATTGAAGTACACTTTGACCCCTAGAAGTATGAGTTCGCGGACTGTACAATTCTTGGTGATTTTGTGTACATAAGCTATCTATGTATATTTATTTATCTATGGTTTTAACTCTTAATCTTCCGGCCGCGTTTCTATTTCTTATTTAATTGGCAGTGTTGTTTAACAAAACTTCCAAGACTTCAAAACTTTATTCTGTTTAAGTTTGATTTTATTAAATTTTGCAATATTTTTATCCTAATTTTGTATAGTGTAAGTACAGCAAATGTTTAAAATGAACAATTTTTAAAAGCGTTTTCTATTCTTGCAGTTTGCCCACTTTTGATCCTGAAATAGAATAAAGGCAAATAAACTATAAAAAAAAAATCATGCACATAACTAAATAAAGGTACTGTCAATGTAATTTTAAGTAAACCCCATGCTTGGCAGCATGGTATTTTCGCAACACCAAGCAGAAATAAGAAAAATATCGTTTTTGATCTTAGAGGGCGTTAAATTTCATTCTTTTTCCTTGATGCATAAATCAGCAAGTCATTTTTATATTAAACACATTTAAAATTCAGTGATGGTGATGGACCAAACCTCTGTAGAGTAAAAAAGTAGATGTTAGTTCCACATTTATTGAAAATATGAAATATTAAATCTAAAAAAAACTTTTGCTGAAACAAAACAGTAGTAATCTATTGGTGAACTAATTTAATGAATGTGAGCTAGGTCGCTAAACTTCCTACCGTCGATTCAAATATTAATCTGCAGTGAAGTTATTATCTAGTACATGGAAAAATCCTGAATCAAAGACACATGGTTGAACCATATCTAGACCTGGCTCACATTCATTAAAACCTTTTCTTCAAAATATAATATATTCATGTTTTAGTAGTGATGTGGACCACGCTAGTTCTGTTGGAAGCTGTTTAGATGCTTGTATTTAACCACATCAGAAGCTGTTTAGATGCTTGTATTTAACCACATCAGAAGCTGTTCAGATGCTTGTATTTAACCCCATCAGAAGCTGGTTAGATACTTGCTTTTAACCACATGAGAAGATGTTTAAATGCTTGTGTTTAAACCACATCAGAAGATGTTTAGATGCTTGTATTTAACCACATCAGAAGATGGTTAGATGCCTGTATTTAATTACATCAGAAGACGGTTAGATGCTTGTATTAAACCACATCTTAAGATGGTTAGATGCCTGTATTTAACCACATCAGAACATGGTTAGATGCTTGTATTAACCCACATGAGAAGATAAAGACCAAACAGAAGCGTCACAATACTTGCATATTTTCAACCATTGATAGTTTTTTACACTTATTGATATTTATATATTCCATTTATTTATTCTTTATTTGATATTTAACTTTTGTGGGTTAAACAAAACCATGCAATTCAACGCATTTGATTTACTAGGTTTAGATGTCAAAAATTTAAGAAATAATTTCCTGTAAATCACTGAAATCAAAAGCCTCTATTGTTTCTTACTGAGGTATACATTTCTAACAGGGGGCCATTGGAAATTTTCGGATTTTGTTTGATTTTAGTGCGTTCCAACCGAATATAACATTTATAGCCCCCCCGCCCCCCTTGAATAGATAAACATTCTGAAGAGATCATGAACTTATTGATTTATCAGAGTAAACGCATTCTGGAGAGATACCGATATAGTTAATTTGTATAAAAGCTTACTTTGAAAAAGTTTATGTAAAATTTATCAAGTTTATATTTCCTTTGTAACGGAATTAAAGAACTTAATTTCAAAATTTTATCTTGAACTTCAACGCAAATTGATCTTTAATTATTATAAATGTTGCTTTATGCTTTATTGATAAAGATGGCTGTTTTTCGGATTACGTTTTATTTTTCAGAGACCATTTATATATTATTATTATTATTATGACTACGATGGGGGTATATTTTCACCAATTTTGGGAGAAAACTAAATATTCTTCAACAAATTTAAACAATTTCTTACATTTTTATATTTTTGCGTTATATTAGTTTAATTGGAAATATATACCCCTGTTATGACCTAAAATGTTATCTCTTACACATTTTTGAAATAAATGATTTGAAATTGTATATTTTAAAATACTTCTAAAGTACAAAAAATATTAACTTCACGACGAATTTGTCTCTCTTCTATCTATAATAAAAGTTTTAAAACTTTCTGTCTAAATATAATACTGCAATAGTTATTAACAGATTTAGACATTTGGTTTATTTAGATAAAAATGGGCAGTCTTAAATTCAGTTGTGTAAGCTGGTGGTGAATCTAAATACATTTTAAATCTTTTTTTAACTATAGAAAATGTTTCTGGCTAAAATTGTAAAACTTCAATAGTGTTAAAGGAAAACAATTATAGTTTTAAAAATCAGTTGTTTAACTAACATGATTGTCGAGATTTGTAGAATAAAATGCAAAGAAATTATTTATTTTTATAATTATTGTTATGATTATTATTATTAATATTATTATTTTTACTATTATTATTATTATTACTATTATTATTTATCTTTTTTATTGATATTATGATTATTATTATTTTTGTTATTATAATAATCAGCAGACGTCGTTGTAAAAACTCGACATGAAGTTAAAAGTTTGAAGTTTTATAACTCAAATTTACAGTTGCTAGTTCAGGATTAACTTCTCAATGCACTTCTGTATCTCTTTAGATTCCTGTTCTTCTTTCAATCTTTCATTTTCCGACTTCTCTTTCCTTTCTTTTTCCAGCCTTTGTGTCATTTCCTATAAATGAAAAAAGATCGTTATAGAAGACTATAGGGTGTCCCACGAAGCATGACAGTTGGTAAGTAGTTATAAAAGTCGTCTTTCACACACTATTAGATATTAAAGTTTTTTTTGTAGTTTATTTCGTCAAAAAAATATTTTTCGGAAACATATTTTACTTAGAAACCAATTTTTCTTTAACATGAGTCCCATATGGTATTTTTATTATTGTTTTTGGTATCAAACAACTTAACACATTATGGAAGAAGACATTCGCAGCTATTCACCAACTGCCATGTTTCGTGGGACACCCTGTATCTGAAGGGTATTGAACTTTACATTACCCAAAAAATGTGGATGTCTATTAAACAATGAAAGTTATTTTGTAAACAAGATCTCGGAAAATTATCTCATTTTATTTAATTCAATCCGTTAATTTGCCAGCTATAGGGCCGTCATAGAGTTGTTAACATAAGACTTCATTTGTTGAGACATTTTCTGCCGTTTGGATAGTTTGATAGACAACAATATCATAGATAGGACATATCATAGATAAGAAATATCATAGATAGGACATTTCATAGATAGGACATTTCATAGATAGGACATTTCATAGATAAGACATTTCATAGATATGACATTTTATAAATAGGACATATCATAGATAAGACATTTCATAGATAGGACATTTCATAGATAGGACATTTCATAGATAAGACATTTCATAAACAGAGAAAATTTTCCATAGAGGAGGAGATTTTATTTTACAAATGATGTTTTTTTTCCTTTCATTTCAACTTCATATTTTCCCTTGTCTATGAAAAATCTTCTCTGTCTCTGTCCTTCCTACACAATGTCAGAGAAACAATTGAGAAGTTGCAGTTTTTCCAATTTTGTTAATCGTATTTTTAACAATTCAATTGAGCACTCTCATTCAACAAAAGCATTATTAGTGAAAATATTTTTTCACATATGAAAAAGTTGAATTTTAAGTTCTTAAAAAACTGAATGAAGTACTCTTCATATGTAATGCTTTTTTGATTGTTTCGTTGTATTAATGTATATGGGGAGCACTGTGTTTACATTTTTCCTTATCTATGAAAAATCGAAAAAAGCTAAATTTCATAAATAAAAAATCTCCTCTGTCCATGGAAAATCTTATCTGTCTATGAAATGTCCGTCTATCAAATGTCTTTCCATGAAAAGTCCTATCTATGAAATGTCCACCACTTTCTAGATGTGAGAATTGTGACTTTCTCTTTCGCAGCGAAATCATAGCTGGAGAATTTTAATCGAATCGGATATTAAGGCCATTAGTGCCTTTTATCCTTTAGTTGTACAGGGTTACCCACAAAGGACGTGACTTCAATTACAAGTCATTTAAAATAATAATCTGAAGATTTTTCTTGGTTTTAGGCCTTTAATATAGTTTATCAATGGTAAATTAAATGGCTAGGGAAAGATCAAATTTAATCTGATTTGATCTGACTTAATCTGATTTGATTTAATCTGATTTGATCTGACTTGATCTGATGTGATCTGATTTGATCTGACTTGATCTGACTTGATCTGATATGATTGTGTACCTGTATATATTGGTTTGATGGAAGTTTTTGTCTGAATTCCATGAAATGAATTAGCTTATCCTTGTCCTGCTCTGTAATACCTGGATACAAAGGAAATATGTAAAAAATGTATAAATTCTTGGCAAACTTTTATTTTTCTTCATTCATCAGTGGAAGAGACACAATCTCAAACCTGAGCTGAAAACTTTAGAATGGGATATCCTTAATCCCGATCGGTTAATTAATCTGGAGATTAATAACATGGGGAGAACAAGCCATATTTAATCTGGAGATTAAGAAAAAGAGTGGATCAAGCATTAGTCCTGATATCCACCATTCAAAAGTTCCCAGCTCTGGACTTCAACGTGCAGCAGTTGCTAGTAAAGCTAAATTTGTGCATCCACACCTAGAATTGAGGAAACAGATGTAGGCTTAAAGCTAGCAAACAATCTCAAACATGGACTTCAACGTGCAGTAGCTGCTGGTAAAGCTAAATTTGTGCATCCACACCTAGAATTGAGGCAACAGATGCAGTTATAAAGCTAGCAAACAACCTTAAACATGGACTTCAACGTGCAGCAGCTGCTGGTAAAGCTAAATTTGTCCTTAGTCAAGTCTCGAGAGCTGTTTCCAACGTAATAGATTATTCTCTTACGCGTAATTACGTGCAGTTACGCGTAATAATTTTCATTGCGTGTAATTTCGCAGGATTACGCGTAATTGGGGAAATATCCATTTCGCGAAATTACGGCGTAATTTCGCGTAATTTCTACAACGTAATTTCGCAAAATTTCGTAATGATTATGCGTAATAATGAAAACTATAATTACGCGTAATTACGGCAGAAGGGGGGGGGGGTTGAGTACATACTGTCCCGCTATAATTATTTCTGAGAATTAATATGTACTTTATTTATTACGGAATTGTTACGTAATACGTAATTTCGCGTAATTACGCCTTAATTACGCGAAACTAGACTTTCTTTCGTAAAAGTAATATATGCGTAATTACGCGTAATGCTCCTGCGTAAGTGAAAGAAAGTGTTACGTTTCTTTACACGTAATTACGCGTAACGAAATTACGACTGGAAACCCTACGAGAGCATTTCACTACAGAGATAAAAATATATTTTTGAATCCATATTAACAGTTTGTGCGTCCACACCTAGAATTTTCTGGACCGGGCAATCTTCTGATGCATTAAATATATTAATAACTAGATGCAGGACTGAGGTTAGAAGAAATATTCTTTTTAACAGAGTAGCTGAGAAATGGAAAAAATTACCAAAAAATATCAAAGGAGCAGGAGATATAAAAACTTCAAAATAAGTATGGTCCGATTCACAGGGGAGGATACAAGGGGGGGGACATTCGCCCCCCCCCCCCTGAGATTTGAGGCAAAAAATGTTCCCAATTTGATAAATGTTACTGTTAGCGATAAATTTAGAATTAAAAATTTGTAAGAAACTAGACTTAAGTTATAATATTGTTCATATCTAGTAACGTTCCTTTATCAATACTCATTTATCAAAATTGTAATATTGTTCCTAATTTTCATTCATTGAAGTATAACTAGTAATTTCTTTTTGTTCTTAAATTGCTAATGTTCCTATTATTGTTCCTGTTCCTGTGTCCGACCCACCTTAAATCCCTGTCCTAACCCTATATTTTTGTTCCTAATTCCTGAACAATCTGTTTATTGTTCCTAAATCCCAGTCCGAATCCTTTAATTTTGTTCCTAATTCCTGAACAATCTTTTAATTGTTCCTAAATTCCTGTTCTAATCCTTTAATTTTGTTCCTAAAATTTAGAAATCTAGTTTTTTAGTCTTTAGTCATTAATTTTGACTCTTTTTGAGTCTTTTAAGTCAAAAAAAATTTTGTTCCTAATTATTCATTTTTTTGTTCCTAAAAAATCTTGCCCCCCCCCTCACTTAAATATTTTGTTCCTAATTATTCATTTTTTTGTTCCTAAAAAATCTTGCCCCCCCCCTCACTTAAATATTTTGTTCCTAATTATTCATTTTTTTGTTCCTAAAAAATCTTGCCCCCCCCTCACTTAAATCCTGTATCCGCCCCTGCCGATTCATGAAAGCTTTGTTTGACATATCCATGTTTTCTGTATGAAAATTTATTATTCGTGGGTTCTTTATAAAACAATGGAGGAAGTTTCCAGAAACACTACAAGCTAAAAGATACTGATAGCATTATCAACCACAATATGGATAAAGGTTTAAATGCTACCGTTACTGTATAGTCATTTGAAAAATAAATTACAATAGTTTAATAAAGTTAAAAACTTCAATAATTTTATTAAAGTTTGCTTATACCTTTCATTTGTTTTGTTTTATTATTTACATTTTCAATTTGTTTACATCTAAGCCCAAAAATGATTGCCTAATAGTTCAAGTTTAAATGTTCAGAGGTCGAATTTAAAGAATTTGAGCTGAGGCTTAAATTTGAGAAGCGGCTCAAATATGGTTGGTTCCACTAAAAAATGTATTCAATGTTGTAAGATTTAAGCCGGCGTTCAATTAAAACCGGTTTTTGGTGGATTTGAGACGCAGCTCAATTCTGCTCAAATTTATTAAATCCGGACTCTGCTCTGCAATAAACAGTGTTACCTGTGCACAACAATTATTAATCAAATAAGTAACAATTGTATTTGATGTTGATAAAACATGATATTATCAAGCTTTACTGTTGTGAAATGGGTCTCTGTGTACACTGCACAGTTGCTATGTTTCATGTCTATTTGCACATTTACATCATAACTAGAGTCAAACTGTCGTCTACCTATTCCATAGGTTTATAGGTCCCACTGTAGAAAATAGTAAAAACAAGAAAGAAGACTGAATGAAATCTCCCGCTTCTCCGCAATCTCACATTTTGTATGGAACCCTGTACTGATCAACTCATGAAAAACATCAAAAATTTATATACACTATACACTTACATTTAGTAGATGATGGTGGTTTAGAAGTATCCCTGATATATCCTCCCATCCTCTCAATCATATCCCGGGTCCGGATTCTCCGGAATTTCACCTGTTTCCGTCCTAGAAATGTAATTCGGGTTTGACTTGAATAAAGTTTTTCTTGGTAGATCTAATGAAAAATCAATTAAGGAGAATCGTGAATGTGAGCAAAAATTTGAAACCGCGTATAAAAACTACACAGGATTCGGTCAACATACCCCCCACCACAATGGGGTATCATGGGGGGAGGGGGCAACTTTATTGAGTTTACACCATAAACCTATTATTCAAGTCAAATAAAGCTCGGTCGCTTGAGTAATTTATTTTAAAGCAGTTTGTGCGTCGTAGTAATGTTGTAATTAAGTTCTGAAATCCGACGGAAAAGTGGTAATTCCCGTGAAACCTCTTAAAATGCGAATTTTAAATACGAATCAGAGACCAAACTAATACTTTGGCGGGTTGCCGACGCCCCCACATCCATTAATAATGGTTCTTAGAATCTATTTATAAATCTAGATTATCCTGAATCCGTTGTAATTTTGTATTAAAAAAAACTATAAAGTATAATTTGTTTTTAAATAGTTTGACGTTATTCAATATAAATTGTTAAATTAAAATCATTATAAATCAATGCAAGCTACAATTGATACAATATGTTTGTAAATGAAAAGATTATCAGAATATATTCATTTTTTCAAATCACCATGAAACACAAGACAAATGTATTTTAAGAGAAGTACTGTGATAAAATCCAGTCCCCCCTGACCACCTAAAATACCTCACTGTGCCGCCCCTCCCCCATTTAGTGCATTCGTCTTTGAAGTCGACATTTTTAATGATTATCCCTGTAATAAGAATCCTGCATGTTGTGGATTCAAATTAGCATTACCCGTAGATTGGTTGCTAACTGTAGATGTCGTCTTCCCTGTAGATATATCTTTAGCAGTAGATGTCGTCTTCTCTAGTTTCTGATCTTGGTTTCTTAAAAAACTGTACAATCCCTGAATAGTACAATAACAGCTAACATGAGAATTGAATTAAACCAAAATTGGATTCGGCTACACACTGCAAAAAGTACGCTATTGCTCCTATATCTATATCTATATTATTTAATGCGATATATCTAACAGTAATGTTTCCGCTAAACGCGAAAAGGTTTCAATTTTAGTTTAGTGTACTTTAAAAACCCTATAATCATTAGGAGGATGATATACAGGATGTCATCAACAAATTTTCTTTGAAATTATTTGTTCTCTACAACTGTAACCTTACTAACTCTTTAATCATTAAACCATAAAAAACATTTACCATGACAGAAAATACTGTTATTCTTCAGATTTTAATGTTGTAAGATTTTGACATTTAAGTGAAATTAAAGCACTTTATCTGTTTTCTAGATTAAACAGACTGTATTTGAAAAACAGAGTTACCAACTATCTGTTTTCTAGATTAAACAGACTGTATTTGAAAAACAGGGTTGCCAACTATCTGTTTTCTAGATTAAACAGACTGTATTTGAAAAACAGGGTTGCCAACTATCTGTTTTCTAGATTAAACAGACTATATTTGAAAAACACACAAAAGACAAAACTTTAAGTATAAGAATCTGATGGCTGAACTTGGCTTTTGCTGCTGAATATGGTGTATAAATGACAAGCACAGAAAGAAAATACATTACAAATGAAGGGACCAAAAATTGAGAAATAAAGACTAAATACATTTTGTACAGTCATCTCATTCATTGTAGACAACCCTGAATGTAAAGATTACTTAATTAGGACAGGAAGTGTGTGCATACTGTAATTGTATTGTCTTTGTGCATAGTACAATTATATTCAGAAAACAATGGAATAGAAAGACGATATTATAGCAATAATTTAGTGTTTTTAATGTTGTCACACAGCAAATATTTTTACTAGACAATTAATCAATCACAAGTATACTTAAATGGGTTGCACAGTTACTGTGAGTCATGCTCATTGGACTTTATAAAGTTATAACTTGATTCTAAAAGTCCTCTTCCTATTCCAGAGTTTTCTAGTTATCACTGTATATACTTGAAATGAACCTGTAAAATGTTTCCCTGGTATATTTGGAATTTTTGTATGATAAAATATGTCTGTTTAAGAAAGTTTTAAACACATTTTAAACAATTATCCAAAACAAAAATGAAACCATATAGATAAACTTGGATTTTCTTCAGAAGTCAGTTAGCTTATGTCCGTTACGTAAATTTGATTAATTATCGTTAAATGACGGTTTGAAGTCCCCAGCCCTCTCTATACACAATATATTAGATTTACCTTCCTCTGCAGTAAAGTTAATCTGCTTTCTGCAAGATAATCTAGACAATAATAAGAATTTTAAAATAAAAAATACTATTCTAATCTTGAATAAAAAGTAATGAATAATAATCCAGACAATTTTTTTCCAAATAGTTATTAAAGCACATTTAACAATGGTAGATGGGGGGGGGGGATTTAAGTGCTGTGTTCACATGATTTTATTTAAAAGGTCTCCCACCTTATTGGGTGAAATGCATTGAAAGTCATGGTTTTATTTAGGATATCACTGTATGTTGTATATCTCCACTGTTTAAAGAAACTAACATTTTGAAATTATCAATCATTAAAGGGACTGTAAAGGAAATATGAAATATAGGTATCGGCTGAGACCTATGCATTTCAGGAATTAATCGAGACCGATAAGATGTTTCTGTCTCGAGAAATTGATAACATACTGTGTCAAAATTATACCAAAACTTATGTATGTAAGATTCTAAGGTTAAAGCAGATCATATTCAGCAAATACGCAACCAATCTAAAAAATACGATATCTCAGAGGAGCCTGAAAAACTCAGGTATGCTCCTTTTATTATTTGAATTTAATAACGTTTCATATTAAATAGATATATTATTATTGATAATATTATTTATACGTCCGTATCACGTGACCAGAACTCCCTCCAATGGCATTGCAGTTTACTGGTGACTGGTCATGTGATACAGCCGGAGACACGTGACAATCAACTCCTGAAATGCTCAGGTTTCAGCCTAGACCCTCTTTAATTTTTCCTTTACAGGCCCTTTAATTTCGAACAAATTGTTTGTAATTTGGAAATGCTTTCGAACATCACGCGCAGATTTTACAGTTTGGTCCTTGTCCCAACAAGCTGTGCCTTGTGATTTTGACCAATTAAACTTGAACTATTCTTTTTTTAAATTTAAATTTAAAGATTGTTAAATTAAAACCAAAACCCCAACTGAAAAACCCAACTCTGCATGTTGGTCCAGAATGAACATGTATAGCTGTTTAGTTGCACCCATTATAATTTCTTTTTTAATAAATATATTTATTTTATAAAGAACATTTTCTATTTACCTTTCATAAGTTCTCTTGTATCTTGTGAGATATTGTTGTTTGAAGAAAACATATTTATTTCTGAAAATTATATTTCAAATATTAATTTCTTAACTTCCTCAAAAATGGAAGTAAGCGACGTAAACTCTTGTTCTGTCATTAAATATAAAACTGAAACTAACAAAATCGTTCATTAGTTTGTCGTTTGTTTTATGAGTTTTTAAAGATATTTTAAGATATTTAAAAAATATAATATTTTTCAGAAGTTCTTCAGTTTCTCCTATTTGAGAGCTGATTGATTCCAAGCCAGCGAACAAGCAAGACCTGCATGACAAAAAAAGATATTTAAAGATTTAAAAAAAATAGATATAAATATTGTTGAATATTTTAAAAAGAAGAAATATTCTGATCTAAACTTTGCTTTCAAAGAAACTGAGACTTTGCCACAAACTAAAATTTTCAAATCCCTATAAATATCAAAACCTAATTGTCTAGACCTTTGAAAATTCAAATTATTTGATCGAACATAACTCCTAGTTTAAAATATCTAAGGCGTAGATCCTTGGGTTGCAAAGATATAGGGATTAGAAAATCGGAGTTTGTGACATTAAAGACTTTATTTCTTTCGGGTGAAAACTTTTTTATAAAATTCTTTCCATGTTCTAAAAAAATGCACAAAAATAAGTTTTTAATTTTTTCTGAGGTCGGAGATTATTATCGTTACATTATTATACACAAAGATTAACCTTGTTTTTGGTCGTTATAAGTTGGGGTAACTTTATCTCCAAGTTGTATGATTAATATGGCAGCCTAAACCAATAATATTGTAATTTAGATGAGAAATGATTCTAAAAAGTGGAATTAGATTAGCTTTGCCATATTACTTTATTGTTTGCCATATTTACCACTCCATATATGGAGGTTCAAATAAAATCACAACTCTAGTCCCTTTTTAAGGTATTTTTTATAAGCTCCAATATATTTAATTTAATGATTTAGTTTTCAAAATATTACAAATATATTTTCCTGAATATTTTGCAGTGCTTCCTCCCTCTCTTCTTCTTCCTCCACTAGACCGGAATAATCCAAATCTGAAATAGACTCTTCTACTGAATTTAATAAGATTGAGCTAGGTCGGTGAGCCATGGACTCAAATACCTGGCTTAAATTTTTTTTTATAAATTGAGGCGTTTTTAAAAATAATAGATTTTTTTCCGGATAATACTTTCCAACTTTGACCAGGCATAAATATACCTTAGGTTAATGTGACCAAAAAAGTTGGTTCCGATCGGTTCAGCCGTTTTGACGTGGATAGATACAAACAAACAAACAGTGCTGACAAATATAATAGAATAAAGAAAAATAATCAAACCTAGAGAATTATTCTGCTCCTCCGACTCTGGTTTGCCAGATTCTTGAGCTTTAGGGATGTCGTCTTCAATATGAATCTTTATTTCAATTATACCATTGTTATTATTATCATTATCATAATTATCATCTTTATTTTTATTCTTACTAATTCAATTCAAATTCTATTTCTTGGAAAGCTTATTAAAAAAAATATAATTTCCCATAATTGAATAATCATTTGTATAATTACCTGAATTCCAATTTCAGAGCAATCTTTCTCGTAAATTTTCTCTTTCTTCTAGAGAATTTTTATGCAAATAATGATTCATTTTTATAAAAAAAACATTTCAGATGAAAATTCTATTTTGAATGGACTGTAGAGAAATTTCAAGTGACCCTAACACCCCTGTATGCCAAGTCCATTAGCGCCTGATCCAATCAGGGTTCAGTCATGAGTTTGGTGTCTATTCTGAACCAATAGAAATAGTGTGGCGAAAACATCTCTCTTTCTATCTATCTCATTATCCAATCAGAGATATGAATCCTTCAGTAAATGGAAATATTTACTTCTATTGAAACTATATAGTGCTAAGATGGCAATGCCCGATTTACAGCGGCGGATCAAGTATGAATATCCATATTTAAAATTTTATTATAACTGTTTATTCTCATTTGTGGACTCTTTGAGATTAAGATTTCATGGGCCCCGTTGTGAATCTTTGCATGGAGGGTTACTTGAAATTACGCTTGCAGTCCCTTAGCCATACCTCGAGACTTGTTTTGATCTCGGAGCATCTTCTTCTGAAAGTGATTAGCATCAAAATATTTTATACAAAGTTTTAAACTTATTCAGAAAAATGATAAATATTTATTTCGATAAAGGAATTAAGTTTTTGTCACAAACTCTGATTTTCTTATCCCTATAACTTTGCATTTCAATGGTAGAGACCTTAGATATTTCAAACTATGAACTATTTTAGATCAAATAATAATAGTTTGAATATCAAAGGTTAACACCATCAGGGTGAAAATTTGAAAATCAGAAATTGTGGCTTTACCAAAAAAGGAAAATTCGCTGTATTGAAATTAGCAGCTCAAATTTATATATAATATATATGTAATAATAAACTATCCTTTATTTATGTTTTGTCCATTATACAACGATACTTTTTATACCTTCATCTATCTAAGTAACAGTGATTAATATCGCCGTGTTTATAAAGTAAAAAAATTGCTAAATCCTTCTGATTTATTTTTTGTCTCTGATTCATAATTCCGCATGTCATTTATTTTTTAAATCACTAATTCTAAATAATCGTTATTTTTAATTTTCTACAAAATCAAAGATAAATAATGGTTTAGAGGTTAAGGTTGTAATTCGGGACGTACGCTGCTCTTTTTTTTTGAATTGGCGGCTCTTTTATTGTTTCTTTTACTCTAAATGGTAAACAGTCAATCCAAAATGTTACAAATATTTTTTAAATGCTCTCCAATAAACACTTCACACTAAATTTCTACTCTAAAGGAATTGCGATTTTGCCAGAGCCTCAACTTTTCTAATCCCAATATCTTTGCATCTTGAAGGTGAAAACCTTTAATATTTTACACTTAGATTAGTTGATCTGAGATGGAATTTAAAGAGTTTGAGCCGCGGTTTAAATCTGCCAAAATATTCAGCGCCGGCTTAAATCTTTAAACATTTGATACAATTTTAAGTGGAACCAACCATTACGCCGCCGCTCAAATTCTTTAAATTCGGCCACTGACAGTTTAAAATATCTAAGGTCTCCGACATTGTGTTGGAAGGATATTGGGATTAGAAAATCAGAGTTTGTTGCAAAGACCTAATTCCTATAGAAATTAAAAACCTCCATGTTTAGTACTTTCAATAATGTTCTTCCATGTAAAAAATAGTGTAAAAAATAGTGTAAAAAATAGTGTTAAAAAATAGTGTAAAAAATAGTGTAAAAAAAAATGAAAAAGAACTCGAAATTTTAACCAGACCAGACAGAAAAGAGTACAACTATAGATCTAATGAAAAGGAATTGAGTCTTTGCGTATCTTTAAGCAAATTGAATTTTTGATTATTTGATCTTATAGTTAACGTCTACGATATTATTGAGTTGGACAGATTAGGGATAAGAAATTTAGAGTTTGTTGCAAGAGTTTGTTGTTATGTTGCTTCCATGTAAAAAAATCCTGTAAAATACATGAAACAAAACAACTAAAAACCTAATAAAATGGAATTGAGTCTTTGCCACAAACTCTGATTTTTTCTAATCTCCGTTTCTTTGCAACCCAATATCCTTGACCTTTCAAACTATGAATTCTGTTCAAATAATCTAAGTAATAAAGTGTAAGATATTATAGAGTTGCATCAAAAAACGAGAATTTTGTACTTGGAATATAAGAGTGCAGAAAGAAGGGAGAAGGGAGTATGTGATTGAGCGGGGGAGAAGGAGGAAAGATGGAGAAGTGGGAAAGTAGGGAAAAGGGAGTATGTGATTGAGCGGGGGAGAAGGAGGAAAGATGGAGAAGTGGGAAAGTAGGGAAAAGGGAGTATGTAATTGAGCGGGGAAAAGGAGGAAAGATGGAGAAGTGGGAATGTAGGGAGAAGGGAGTATGTGATTGAGCGGGGGAAAGGAGGAAAATATATATAGAAGAAAAAGATGAAAATTGGATAAAGTGGAAAAAGAAAAGGAAGAAAGAAAACACAGGCAGAGTAGATTATAAGAAGGGAGCAAAGACAAGCAGGATAATAAATAAGGGAAGACAGGAGGATGGATTGGGAAAAGAGAGCAAATACAGACAGGTTGGATAATAAAGAGATAGCAAGACAAACAGCAAAGACAAGCAGGATAATAACAAAGGAAAGTCAGGAGGATGGATTGGGAAAAGAGAGCAAATACAGGCAAGGGATAATAAAGAGATAGCAAGACAAAGAGGACAGGCAGGGTGGATACTGGATAATGAAAATGAAGCATGGCCAGGGTGGGTAATGGTAATGGAGCAAATACAGACAGGTTGGATTTTAAAGAAAGAGCAAAGACAAATAGGAAAATATAAGGGAGCAGAGACAGACAGGGAGGATAAGGGAAAGGGGGCAAATACAGCCTGGTTGGGAATGAAAAAGGGAACAAATATAGTAAGCAAGGGAATGGATACAGGAAAGGGAGCAAAAACAGGCAGAGTGGATAGGGAAAGGAAGCAAAGACAGACAGGGTGGAAAGGGGAAAAGGAAGCAAAGACAGACAGGGTGGATAGGGATTAGAGAAAAGGAAGCAAAGATAGACAGGGTGGAAAGGGGAAAGGAAGCAAAGACAGACAGGGTGGATAGGGAAAAGGAAGAAAAGACAGACAGGGTGGAAAGGGAAAGGAAGAGTACGTTAAATCAGCAAAATCTGGTAAAATTAATGTTCCCTGTATAGTTTATGATCTCCATATATTCTAAACTTGAGAATTGGAAACTGTAATGAGCTTGCACCATATGGGAAATTCTGTTTGCTCTTGAAACTAATCATAACATATAATATCACTCTCACAACCCCAGCTCGACTGCAGACAGAAAACAGAATTGTATTTAGTTAAAGCTTAATTTCATGCATTTTCAACATCAGCTTTCAGAGATAGCTGATAAATCGAAATCAGCCTAAAATTTCAATTTTCTGTTTTACCTTTTTCGGTTTTATTTTCACATGTTTCTTTTTATCACAACTTTGCAAAAAGGGGTTAAAGGATCTGAGTTTTTGCCACAAAATCAAATTTTCTAATCTTTATATCTATACAACCTGCTGATGCAAACCTTTCCTTTCAGGTCAGAATATTTGGTCTAGCAAAATTCAAATAGTTTGTAAAAACTAAGGTCTACGCCATCGGGTTGCAAAGATATAGGGATTAAAAAGTTAGAGTTTGTTGCAAAAACTCATTTCCTTTTTCATTATATATCTGTTTTTTGGTTAATGTTCACCCATCATTGTTTCTATTTAAATTTCGAATTTCTAATTTTTTATCCGTTTTCTTTAAAATTAGTGTAATTTGTTTATTCTTAAATTTTGTTAGCCATGTTTTTAACTTTCGTATAAATATACTTTCTTTTTTTTACTATTCATCCTTGGATCACCATTGGATATAGTTTAATCTTTTTATCCTAGGGTTTCTCATCTAAGAACTTTCATTTTAAAAATTCAGTAATCCTTTTTTTGCATTTTTTTTAGAAAATATGGTCTACAAAATGGGTTTTTAACAAGCTTTACCATCACTACTATGTACTCAAGTCCAGACAATTAAGAATTCCTGTGTTTGCAATATTTTCAAACTTTATATTAGTCATTACTTTTAAGGAATTTACTGCAACTAGATAATTCTGGATTAATTGAATTTATTTGTATTTCCAACTGCAGTCATAAGAATGTTGCATTTAAACCTAACATGCATGATTTAATTTAAACACTATACTCGTAGAATAAGAATTATGTAAAAATTAATGAACATCATATGTAAGAGCTGTTTATAAAACATTAGAGTGTACAGGGTTAGTCAAAACACACACAGGCCTAAATATAAAAAGTTTCATGTGAACAAGATCTTAAATATTTTGAATATATCTTCATTTTTAGGAATTAGCTATGAATAGAAAAAACTGAAATGATTCTAATAGAGTTGTACATTTCCATTATCTATTTAATCCATCTATATAAGTAGTTTTTGATTTTTTTTTGCTTTATCGCCAAAGATATGTAACTTTTCATGATATGACCGTAGCGCTCGTCAAAGTAGAGATGCTTGGCTCACAAATCTCTCGTCCTAACCTAACCAATTTTGTTTGGCAATATATATATAAGTATACAGAGTTACCAACAAAATATGAGACTTCAACAGACCACTGTGCGGAACCTCTTCAAATAAACTTGTTTTGATCTTTGCAACATCAAGTAAATCTTTTGAAGTCTAAATTTTAGTCAGAAGCTAAATTCAACCTTCAAACTAATTCATATACAGAGTTTTTGGTCGTTATTAAAGTCTCATCCTTTATGGGTAACCAGAGCTCGGAACTTTTGAATGGTGGATCGGGATTGATGCTTGATCCTCACTTTTTCTTATTCTCGAGATTAAATAATGCTTGTTCTCCTCTTGTTTTTAATCTCCAGATTAATTAACCGATAGGGATTAAGAAGAACCCATTCTAAAGTTTTCAGCTCAGCTGTGTATGTTTAATTCATTTTGCGCATTTCTTGAAGTTTTTCTTGGGGGGGGGACCTATTTTGAGAAAAGCATTAATTAGTTTTTTTATTTATTAAAGAACCTTATCTAATATCTTTCATGCTTAGGCTTTGTTAATGGTTAAGGACATGTATTTGTTGATTAACTGCCAGAGGTGCAGGAAACTTTTTGCCACAAACTCAATTTTTTTCCCTTATATCTGTCCAACCCGATGCCGTTCATCTTAGATGTTTCAAACTATGAATTCTGTTAAACCATATATAAGCATCAGCTTTTAAATTTGATTCTGAAGCAAAAACTAATTTCATTTCTTGAAAAATTTTTCCCCCTTTTTAAAAATAACTTTTTCCCCAGAAATACTTGATATGTTTGCTCAGAGCAACGAAACAAAGTAGGGTTTTATTTGCTAAAGTTTTGGGTAATAAAAAAGAAAAAAACATCTCTTTTGATATAAAAATAATTTTTTCCTGCATAACTTAGGTTTGTTAAGGGTTTAATTGCTGAATTTTAGGGTGAGAAGAATTAAAAAAGGAGGAAAAACTTACAGTTTCATGTACAATTTTCTTTTTTATTCCAATTTATTCTTCTGAAGTTAGGCATGTTTGCCCGGAGCGCCATACATTTTTTTAGCGTGTTACTTGCTAAATTTGTTGTTAAAAATATCCAAAAAGAATAAAATAACTTGCCTCTTCATGTTAAAGGAAATGAGTGTTTGCCACAAACTTGTAGTTCTTATATATTTCAAACTATAAATTCTGTTAGACCATATAAAGCCTCATTTTTTTAAATTTGAGTTTGTAGCAAAAACCAATTTCCTTTCTTGAAAAATTTTTCCCCCCCTTTCAAAAATAACTTTTTTCCCAAGAAATAAAATATGTTTGCGCAGAGCAGCAATACAAAGTAGGCTTTTATTTGCTGAAGTTTTGGGTATTCGAAGTAATAAAAAACATCTCTTTTGACACAAAGTTCTTCCCCCCATTTTCATCAAAAAAAAAATTTCTTACACAAGTTAGTTTGTTTAATGATTTAATTGCCATGATTTTTAGGGTGAAAAGAATTAAAAAGGATGGCCGACAAACTAAAGAGTTAGGCATGTATGCGCGGAGCGCCAATTACATATTTTTAGGGTTTTTTTAAAACATCAAGCATGAATAAAATAACTTGCCTTTTAATGTCAAAATTTTCATTTTTTTACCCACATCACATCATATAAAATCAATTCATAATTGACGTGCCAAAAGGGGGGGGGGCGCTTGTGCACCCAATGACCCCCTCAATTACGCCCCTCCCCCCCCTGCAGCCTGCATTTAGGATTAAGCAGCCACTTCTCTCAATTGCCCGTGCCCCCCCCACTAGAAATTTTGGGCAAAGGTTAAAATCAGTAGTGGTGTGGTGCCCCTTTCCTAAAAAGGGCGCTGTTTGATGAGGGTGGGGGCGTAAATTTGTATTGTCTTTACAAAAGCCTATAATAATAAAAATTGCTATAAAAGGGGTGGTAATATAGCAATTTTTTATTAAACAATTTGCGTGGGGATAAGGAAAGAGGGCGTTTAAAAAAGATGGGTATATATATATAATTAGAAAATCAAACAGCCTCTCCGAGGATATGTAAATTGCACTTTTTTTGAATAGGGGATACATTTCAAGAAACTTGCGCTTTGCCGCGTGCATAACCAGAGTTCGCTGCAGGTACGAGTTCTCTGCAGGCATGACACCGGTCCAGTACAATTTGTACAATTTGATTTTTTTTTATGGACGGATATGACAATTTATGTAATCTTTCGAAATATAAGGATAGAATCTGAATTGTAATAAACAGCTTCCCAGTTAGAATACTGGGTACAAGTGTAAATTGAAATATTCTGTAGGGGAAACTCTTATAAAGCCCTGCCCATTTATCCAATTAGTCCAATTTGAACGCTTTGAACACATTACTATTTTAGAAGCGCTGATCGAACGTTAGTTTGGTTGATATAGCACTCATGTTCTTAAATTAAACTAATCCAAACTTTAATCGGAAGCGGAAATAGATTAAGATGTCAAAACCAGTTTTGGAAGCTTTCTATGCAAACCACAACACGTGAACAATTCATTTCGCAATTGATAGCGATCCAAACACGTGCGATCGTTGATCATAAAATTAAACTGTTTGGTCCTTGTGTGAAAGTACAGTCATTGGTCGGCCCATTCATTGAGCTTTTGCTATTTTGTCATTTTGCCCTGTGAATGATAACGTTAAATTATAATTTTAATCATATTGCAGCAATGCTTCTTTATTGATGCGCTTTAATTCTGTTCAGCTTGTCCACATAATTTGTCAAATACTAGAGATGTTAAACCTGATATCCCCGTTATTCCAGATTACTTTAAATCCGAAGAAGCTAAAATGTCTGACGCAGCTGGTAAGTGCACTTTTTGGTATTAACCTAGAGAACGATACTTGGACTCCCCTCCCCTCACCATTCCCCGGCCCCCCATTGATATAATTTTGTACATGGCTATCGCTGGTCGTGTGTCCACAGCGTCCGGCCCCTTCGTCTATCCTAGCCGCGGCGCCCTGCCTTCTAGCATGTCTTAACCGAAACGCTCGGCCCAGTAACTGACTTAACCTAACTTAAACCTAAAATATTAATTAGAATTATAAAACATTGATTTCGTTGAAATCATGTTCAAATTTGATATGGGGGGGGGCAGAATTATTTAGACAGTTTTTTGGGCCGGGCGCTGCGGCCACATAGTCAAATATAGCCATGTCTTGCATGTGAGATCCATGTACAGTATTCGATGTGTGGGGGGGGGGGGGTCCAAAAATCGTTCACTAGGACAGACCCCAAAAGTCAAAGTTGGGTATGTGGCCGCAGCGCCCGGTCCCCCTTACGAAGCGTTTGGTCCAGAAATTGTCTGAACCTACTCTGAAATAATATAAGGTTCTATCTCGTGTAACCCTTGACCCAACCTTATCAATTGTGTCCATCACCATAAAGATTAACTAAATGGAAATTTCCTCTGCTACAAATTTTAGACCCCCCGTCCCTCATAGAAATTAAGTTTATGCATCTCGGTATATTCCTAGGGAACGATTTTTGGACCCTCCCCCATTCCTATAAATTTTGTACATGGATTTTAAATGACGTATGAATCTTAAATGTATGACATGTGGCCGCAGCGCTCGGCCCCCTAGCCCGGTCCTGGCCGCAGCACTCGGCCCAGAAAGTGTCTTAACCTAACCTAACCCTAAATAACGCTAAATAAAAACTAATTTGGTCATGTACAAAATCGTTCACTAGAACAGACCATTCATCTCATAAGTAACACATGCATATAGTTGGGCATGTGACTTTCTTTCCTGTACTAGACTCAGCGCGCGGCCCAGAGTTGTGAAAACCTAATCCTTAAGCGATTCAATAATTTTTGAAAATTATACAGAAAGTTGAGTTCTAAATCATTTTTCATTTTTCTCTGGTACTGAGCCCCAAGCTTTGGTCAATAAAGTGATCCCTGAAGTTTTTATTTAAATTGTTTTTAGGTGATTCTGGATGCCGTACTTGCGGTGGGGAAGGGCACTTCTCAAGGTGAGTCTTATTCTCAGGTTTCTAGTTCATACCATGAGACATGAAGGTGTAATTGTTTATACAGCTGATGTTCAAATATGCAACATGGGGGGTCAAAAAATCGTTCACTAGGACAGACCCAACCTCTATTCCCATATCTACCCGAACTCGCATTGAAAATTTCACTGATTAGAGATATACCTTTTTGAAAATGTATGAACGGGACAGACCGGCTATGTAAGGTTGTTTAGAGTATGCAATGCTGTGAACAAATTCTTTAGGATACATTTGCGTCATATTAAACGTTTCCACGATTTATAATTACTGAGTTAAAGGGCATGATGTTCAGATGTTGAGAAATATATTTCTTGAAAGAAATTTGTCAATAAATCAATGTTAGAATCAACTATTATGTCGTCATTAATTAAAATTCCAGATAATCTGCTGAAATCTTTGTGATTAAAGTGAGATTATAGAAACTAATTATTGAATAAGTTTAATCATTTTCAAAGATTAAGGGTTAATTTTTATTTTCTCGACCTGTTCCTTAACAACTGATAAGTTTACTGCAGAATTAGGTATACTTCTTTGTCGTTAATTGATAAAAACAATTTAAAAAATTGAAAATGTTCTAAAGGCCGATTTTGAACGTCGAGTTGGCGCTTAAACTCGGGATTTACAGATCTATATAAAGTTAATACGTCTCAAATGAATTCTAAAGAATTTGTCTACAACACCGCATACTCAGTTCTTACATAACAAGGCTCTCCCTTTATATGAAGAACATTTTCTTAAAATTTTTTTATCTTATTCGAGGTCCCAATGGTTTACCGTTCGTTCGAAACATGACAGTAGCATGACGAACTGATGGTCGTACTTGACTAATTGATGGTCGTCCTTGAGCATTGAAATAATTTGCAAACTTTTCTCATGAACCAAAGTTTAGAGTTAAAATCTTGTTATTAATGACTACATACCCCTCTAATCGTGGCAATTCCAAATTATGGTCTGCCAATTTTATGTGGTTTTAATAATACCGGAGATTTCGCTCAGATTTTGACAATTTCTTTTTTATTAAAATTGAAACGAGACAGAAATTTTAACATCTCCGGTTATGATGTCTGCAAATAAGGCAGACGCCATTTTAGAAATTCCAGAACTGGAATGTGAGATGGGCGGATTATTGGTAACACATAATTTGGTAACTAATATTTTGGTAACTAATAATTTGTTAACTAACATTTTGGTAACTGACATTTTGGTAACTTGACAATTTGGTAACTTGACAATTTGGTAACTTGTCAATTTGGTAACTTGTCAATTTGGTAACTTGACAATTTGGTAACTTGACAATGTGGTAACTTGACAATGTGGTAACTTGACAATGTGGTAACTTGACAATGTGGTAACTTGACAATGTGGTAACTTGACAATGTGGTAACTTGACAATGTGGTAACTTGACAATGTGGTAACTTGACAAATTGTTAAACTGACAATTTGGTTTAGAATAAAATTCTAAAATGAAATATGCAGGACTGTTCAAAGATTTATAATTCACATTCACCAGGTTTATCAAACTTTCATATATCATTTACTTTTTTTACATATGATTACATTTAAACTACATACATGCTTAAGAGGAAACTTAAAGTAGCGCAAGCGTAAACTTTTAAGAAATCTTGTATATTGTTTTCTCTCTCTATGCATTCAACAAATAAATATGCAAACAATGATTGTGAAACATTAGTTTCATTTATACAAATTGTTAGTTAACAAATGGTCAAGTTACCTTTTTGTCCAGTTACCAAAATGTCCAGTTACCAAAATGTCCAGTTACCAAAATGTCCGGTTACCAAAATGTCCGGTTACCAAATTGTCCGGTTACCAAATTGTCCGGTTACCAAATTGTCCGGTTACCAAATTGTCCGGTTGCCAAATTGTCCGGTTACCAAATTGTCGGGTTACCAATAATCCGCCCATCGGAATGTGAATGTATGTGGACGACAAATTATCTCAAATAAATTCAAGATTCAAGTCGTTTTCTACCGAGTCTTGTAGGCACTGTGCATGTCCGCCTGCCTCCCCCAAAAAAAATATTTTTTCAAGGGATTGTCCTGACAAGCCTGCTGGATCTGACGCCTGCAGGAAGTGCGGAGAGGAAGGGCATATGTCCAGGGACTGTAGTCTACCCGACACCTGCAGGTTATTCTTTAGTATATTTAACCCTTTAAGCCACTATACTTTCTTTGAAGAGTCCACTTGCAGGATTTCAGTCTTTTTTTAATAGAGTACTGCTTAACCCCGAGATATCGAGAGAGCAAAATATTCTATTCCTATTGCTATGGAGCTTTTTAAAAATGTAACCCCATATTGCATACCTACCTATTTTTTTACAAATACTGAGATTTATGTATAATATCCTTGGTAAATGATTCTGAAAAGTCTTAACTCCATCGTAAAATTGTAAAGACGACATTTTCATTTTGCAAAACCTTTCGATGTAGCCCAATGTTCTGAGGCCGTTCCTTCCATAAACTACATTGTTCTACAACTTGGCGTCTCCTATATTGGTCTTTAAAGTGGAGAAATTATCCATTAGACAAGAATTTAGTAGGAGACATCTAGTGGCCAACCTACGTAAATTACACGTTCATCATAATCTATAGAGAACGGGCTCAGGGTTATACTACTATAAATCAATTGTGGACACTGAATTTTGAGGAGTGGGGGGGGGGCCCGGTCAATCCCTCAGCATCACCCGCCTGAATCAGAAAGCTTCTAAGGGATTTTCAGGTCCCAAAGCACATCTGCTGCTGAGCCCCCTGATCAGGAATGAATATAAATCCCCAAGCACCTCTTAAACTAGTTGAAGTACACTTCTCGGACTAGTTCATCCCTCCATCATGAACATCACGGATTATATAGATGAAATTAATAAATTGGCAGATCTGTATAAAATAAAAAAAATAAATGCTTGATCCTGAGATACACAGCACTAAAGTTGATTTTATTGATCTTGAGTACTGAAAAGTTCTTAAACTTTCACTAAAACTGAAATTTCATGGTTTTAGGAAGTGCAAAGAAGAGGGACACATGGCTTCTGACTGCACTCTTCCTGATGTTTGCAGGTTGGTTCATGGCGGTGTGAAGGATCCATTTTTTTTATGCGGATCCGTACCCTAGACCCGCCTTGATAAATATTAATTTTTTAGCTTAGAAATTTTTCTCACTTTTATGAAAAATTTGATCTAGTGCATTTTCTGGTTTAAAATCGAAGTGATTTTTAGTTTCTATTTTTAGTTTCAGGCTTTGTTAAATACTTGCCGTTTTTTCTCTCAATATTTCTTGATAGCAGGGTCCAGAAATATTTCTGTAACAGTTGTACGACATTTCGTAGCATAAAATCAATGCCCTAATGGAACAGTGACAATAGGGTTCTGTCTGAAAAAGTGTTCTGAATTAAAATAATATCGAATTATAAAGCCCTAAGGTCATACATTATTAAATTACTAAAGTCTGACACCCAGTGAAATGGGAAAATCTTGATTATTTCAGTCCAATTAATATTAAATATATTATTTCAGTCCAATTAATATTAAATATATTATTTCAGTCCAATTAATATTAAATATATTATTTCAGTCCAATTAATATTAAAAATATTATTTCAGTCCAATTAATATTATATATATATTATTTCAGTCCAATTAATATTAAAAGTTCCAAATTTTCAGGAAATGCAAGGAAGAGGGACACTTGGCTAAAGACTGCGAGCTCCCAGACGTGTGCAGGTCAAATATCTATTACTGACTCGACTTATTTCACTCTCATTGGGAGAAGTTATGTACAGCGATACCCAGAAAATACGGGAATAAGCTTAAAGATAAACTGACACGGATGTGGCTGGTCTAAAGCTTTGGGGGGGGGGGGGGGAGGTCAATTTGACCCCCCTCTTTATTTGCGATATCTCAAGTAATTCAGAAAGGAAGCTCAACTTTTCTGGCTTTTCCAATCAACTCATTCCCCGCATTTACTTTAAAAGCTGGGAATTTATACCGACTGCCTGAGTCCTCAGGCATACTGCCTAAATGTCTCATTTTACCTACCGGACTAAATCTATATATTTAGACCTACTTTCAGTCATTTGATTTCAACAGTTCAAAGCTCTTTGGAAAGGATAATATAAAGCAAGCAGATCCCACAGTTTTTGCAAAGAATTTTTGCACATACTCCTTTTGAGAGAATTTGCATATTTTCAGTTTTCTTTAATACACAAGTTTTACAATTTTGCAAATGTTCTTACCTATATGAAATTAATGGGTCAAGAGCTTTTCAATAATATATTATTTGTTACAATTTGCTCATTTTTTTGCACAGTTTTTGCTCCAAATATAGGAAATTTGCCATTTTCTTTCTAAAATATTGGAGATTTGAAAATAGAGGGGGGGGGNCCCCCCTCTCCGTATAATTTATGAAAAAGGGTGCGTGTCTGAACATCTAGTAATTATTCAACTTGCCCTTTGCGAATTTTCTTAGAAGCGCGCTTAAAATCGCTATCTGGGCCCATTCTCTTTGATCTGGAAATCTCACTGAAGGTTGAAAATCTCTTTTATGTCGTAGGAAGTGCAAGCAAGAGGGACACATGTCCCGGGACTGCGAACTTCCTGACGTTTGCAAGTAAGGAAATATATTCATTAACATCGAGTTGAGCTGATGACGCAGTAGCTAATGTCATAAATTTGTTTTTTCATATGTACAGTGATAACCAGAAAACTGTAGATTAAAAAGATTTTGATGTTATGAAGCAGTAGTCTTATTAGTAACTTAACTTACTTAATCACTAATGAAGTAAAGGTATTTGAAGTCATTTTGGGGACTTTGAAGAGTTTTCTGTGTATCACACTATTTATTACAAACGTCATGACTCATTTGTCATAAATACGTTTTTAAGTTAAGAATCAATTTGTCATCTCTCTTGTAGCATTTAATTGATTTTTATATCCTGTTTTTTTTTTTAATCTTTCAAATGTCGCAGGAAACTATTGAACATGAATCGTAAGATTTTAGTAAACTTCTTAAAAGTAATCATGTCAAACGTATTATGATATTGATAAACGTATATATTTCTAACACATAATGACTGTTAATTGTGACTGCATTGGAGTGCTAGATGCCATTTGGCAAACTGATTTATGTTTTTTAAAAAGCTCTTGAAAAAGGAAAATTATGTTTTTCATTAGGTTACGGAAACTTAATATCACATAAGATATGGCTTAAAATTGGTATAAATGCTGTATTGGTACTAATGATAAATGTAGAGCTCCCCACTCTTAAGCTTCACTCTATTATTCTGTTTAAGACTAAAACTTAGAATTTTCACAATAATTTTCATTCAAATTATTGAAAACGCACCTTGATATAAAATAATTTGGTACAACAATTTAAGACGATGTGGCGAGGAAGGTCATATGGTGGCCGAATGTACTGAGGAGGAGAAGACCCGTACGGTCACTGACGAGGATGGAACGGTGAGAATTTATTTGCTTAATCTAAATTTGGATCTTATTTTCACTGCTAAAGAGAGTGTAAGGGGGTTGGGTTCAGTTCCTTTTTCACCCTTAAATGGGCGAGACCGGCTAGGCAAGTTAGTTGAGCTGTAAGTGCAGGAAAATTTAGAGAGAACCAAATTGAGACAATTTTATGGTGTACGTAACGTAAAGTCGTTAATATTTTACATTAAAATAAAATATTTACATTAAAATAAAATATTTACATTAAAATAAAATTGAACCTCCCAACAAGTTGCCCTAGCAGAAAGAACTGGCACAAATCTACGAGATTTTAAAATCAAATTATAACTTTTCAAGTTCCTAATTTTTCTCAACCTTTATGATTAACATACTATACAAGCAACTAGATTGTTGAGCAATTTGTTGCTTGGTTTGTCCATGTTATTTCAGAATTGTAAAAAATCGTTTTTTCTGCTGTCTAAAACAACCTTAGAGAAATAATACTAACGCTCCTATTTGAAAATTGTGTCGTTTTGGCGCTTTTCTACACGTAAAAACCTCAATACTGTAACCAGAATAATAACTTGAAGAAAAATACTGCTCTGCAATAAATTTGTACATCTCTTTTATTTCAATATAAGATGACAGAAATAAATGATGACGACCTTTCTAAGGAGGTTTGCCAGGTTGTCATCTCTATTGTTTCAATACTCCGGGGTCTCAGGACGCAGAGAGAGGAACGCCCACTCAAGCTCTACCAGTAAAAAAATCTATAAATTTTTGTGTTTCATGTGAGATGGTTATGGTTTTTGAATGGACCTGTATTTTCTACAAGTTAATGCAAACTCAAGTATCTAAATCAGTTTTATAGTTAACAGTACACGTCTTGGTTTACAATTCGGATTCTATGTATATAATCCATCCTTCTCCAGGGTCACTGCAGTACAGTAAGGAGAGGGGGGAGAGAGTATAGACATTGTGTCTAATTACTTCTGTATTGTACAGCTTTACAACATATTGCACATCGTAAAAATGTCTCGTTAGTATCAAATAAATCTTGAAGTTCTCCTGTTCTATTCTGCACTTCCAACTCATTCACCATGTCTAGCCGGTCTTTCCCTTTAAGAAAGAAATAAGATACTGAAACCATAATGTTAGTTATTTAATGTCATTAATTCCACCACCACGAATACTAAGTGAATCTACTGTTCCAGGTTCGAGAGATCTATGTGCCGAAGCTGGCGACTGATGACGAGCTCTTCCAAATGAGTATCTCTGCTGGAGACAACTTCGCTAATTATGAGAACATACCGGTGGAGGTTGTGGGAGATAATGTACCTGCTCCTGTCAAAGATTTCCTCTGTCTCCGACCTCTCGTTCTGGACAACGTTAAGAAGAGTAAATATTCGGTAAGTTTTAACTTATTTCACGAGGGAAAACGTAATGTAGATGTGAATAATGTCTGTAAATCACATCCTATTACCCTCCAGAAATCACTTTCCCTCCAGAAGTGTTATTCATGTTAAATAATTAGCCATTTATGTTAAATAATTAGCCTTACAATTAACACACTTTTGAGAGACGTGGGAACTGAAACCTTTTTTCCGAGTCCACTGTGTGAATCACTAGTGGAGTTTCACTTGTAATAATGTGAACGTTTTTTTAAAGGAATTTTATCAATAACAGTAAGATTGATTTGGTATCTCGTCAATTAACGCTGATAATGTTAAATACAGTACAGGGTGTAGTAATGGATATTTATTCAGTTACTGATGCGGATTTTTTTTGCAGGTCATGACTCCGATTCAGATGTATTGTATCCCAGCTAGTAAGTAAATTAAACCTGTGATCAACCAGAGTTGGGAACTTTAGAATAGCGGACATTGAGAACAATGCTTGATCCTCTCTTTTTCTTATTATCAAGACTAACCTACTCTTGTACTTGTATCCTGAACAGTGAATACAATTCTATCAATCAGAGTCGCGTACAGGAAGCCGATAAATTTGAAATTTTGCCCGCCATTTAGGATTAATGTACAGAAATGGGAACTCTCTAATTTTGGACAATCTGTTCTTCTTAATTTTTTTGTACTCTATCCAAGAAAGAGTGGATTAAATAAGAAGTTATAAGTGTCCACATTGGACATTCGGATTAAGCATTTGGGATTAAAGGTATCCCTTTCTGAAGTTCTCAGCTCAGGGCACATTTGATTGGTCTTTTTTTCTCAATTTTATTGTGAAGGGAGCATTAATGGTTTTTTTCACATTGCACGGGATATATTTGTTTTGTCGGTTTACTTACTTTTTCATTGACCTTTTAACTTCATATTTGGGAAGATTACCTTAATTTGAGGCTGCAAAATTAATTTTTTCATTAAAATTTGAAATCTAAAGAATTTTTGAACCCAGAAGCCTCCCCCCCCCCTTCATTAAAAATGTTTTGCAATTTTGAACATGTGGCAGCAGTGCCCATCCCAACCCTGTCCTAACCCGTAGTGCCCAGTCAAGAAATTGTCCTAACTTAACCCTGAAATAATACAAAATTAATATACATATTTTCTTAAGGGAAGAGTTGAAGGGTGGTGGGGGGGGGGTGGGGGCACAAATCTTTCTTTTGGACTAAATTGGCGTTTTATGTGATCATATGATGTTTTAGCCTACTTGTAATGCTCAAGATTGTTGTTAGTTCTGTTATTTAAATTTAAATGTTTAGTTCAAGCGAAGAGAGATGTGCTAGCATGCTCCCAGACCGGATCAGGAAAGACTGCTGCATTCCTTCTCCCTATCATCAACAACCTTCTCGAGGAGGAAGTGGCAGCTAACGTAGGAGTTAGGGAACAGAGCCCGCAGGTCATCGTCGTCACTCCTACCCGTGAGTTGGCTAACCAGGTAAATATTCTTTAACACAATCGGTGATCGAATTTAATGAACTTAAAGCAGTGTCTGAAATCCTCAAACCAATTTCAATTGAATGCCGGTGTAATGCCTGCAGCGAACTCGGGTTATGCTACGCGGCAAAGCCCAAGTTTCTGGAAATATAAACAAACAATTATAATTTAATTTATTTGTTTTTACGGTGAATTTCCGTTATTGATCGATCATTAAAATCTGAAAAATGTGCTTAGCCTCTTTTTCAAAGTTTTTTTTTGAGAAATTCAAATTATATTTTTACTTTACGTTTTAGACGACAGAATAGAAACAATTTCTCATTTTCAATATTAGAATTTAGGTTTTAAAACTAAAAGATGAAAAAAGGTTTCATTTTTTAAATCATTGGAAAAAAGGACCAAGTACATGCTGAAGGCTAGAACGGGATTAAAATCTTTTTACGGCGACCCCCTCAATTTATTGGCGCACTTTTTTCAGAGAAACCTTGTAGTATAACCATGAGATAATATAAAAATAAATATCAGTGTTATAGTTGAAATTGCGTGTTTAGGCATAATAGGGCAGGGCGAGGGGTCAAAAACCCAATATTAGAATTAAAGAATCTTGAGCTTTGCCGCTTAGCTTAACCATGGAGTTTGCTTCGGGCATGACACCGGCTTAAATCTTTAATCTAATACAATCTTAACGGAATTAAATTGGAGGTAGCTCTACAGCAAGCGTTTTTTATATCCTCAAATTTTTAGATTAACATCAATGCAAGAAAGTTTGCTCTTGGTTCTGCAATTAAGAGTGTCGCTGCTTACGGAGGTAGGCTAAGCAACTATTTAGGGGAGGGGGGGGGTCCTGAAAAAAAATAAAACTGAAACTGCTTACATGATAACTTAATCCTCACTTAATCTTATCAAGTCTAATTCCTGCTACCTACTTAAAGTGAAAGGATTTATCATTTAGCTGCTTAAAATGCTCCGATGTTTGGGGGTGAATTGTCATACTTACACAATATATTCGCTTTTTACAAACTTATAAACCCTAACTTTCTTTTTAAACAACCCTCAAATGTGTAGATAAGATTGCATATCTGCTTTCAAATTGGTCTTAAAGCCGGTGAGAATGTCTGGGTAGTTGACATTTATGGCCAATTTCTTAGACGTTCTAGTATAGTCACACGTTGGTTACGCTTTACTAGAGCAGTGAAGTCAGATAAATAGACCTACAGTTGTACCTATGATAACCATCAATAAGTAATTTGCCATGAGTTAATATTTAGTTAGTTATTTTAGATATTTTAGATATAATTAGATAAATTAACTATGCACATTAAAATTAGCCCACGGACCGGTTTGATGTTTTAAGCTCGCGTCCGGGCAGTAGGCACATATTTTCCACCAACATCCATAAAAAAAATGCTGAGCGTTTCACTTTATAAGATTTCAAAATAGTATCGTACTAGAAAAGAGTTCAACACAGCAGTACAATTCGCTAATCGAGCTGTAACTTACTTTGACTTGGACTACGATTTGAGATCATAGCTACAAGGTTAGATTTCAGATCATAGTCAAAGCTCATTCCTGCGTCAAAATTTTGAGGTCAAAAGGAGGGCTATGGGACAAGGGTATTTAGGATAAGTAAAACTGTCTCAGACCAATACTTGTTAAGTAATGTAAATAAACTAATTATCGGGATTTTTGAACATTTCAAGTTGTTATTATTCAACAATTTCAATCAATGCCAAAGCTTAAGCCTAATGAAGTGAATAGGTCTGTATACGTTCGATTGAAAATAAATATTTTAAAAAGTGTATTTGTCGCTTATCTGATCCAAAGCTTTTTAAGGTCTCATTTCCTGAAAACTATCATTGTTTAGGAACCAGTATGGGAAACCAATTAAGAAACCTGGAGGCAGGATGTAATATCATCTCCGGAACTATGGGACGGTAGGTTTAATTAGTTTTGGTCCTTGTTATAGGCTGTCCGTCAATAACATTCAAGTGTTCTTCATATCTAATGTGATGAAAAGAGTCTGGCCTATTAGCTGGTTTTGGCTAATTCTGAGTTCTTGATGTTCAGGCTCCTCGGATTCATTGAAATGGGTAAAGTGCTCCTCGACCAGGTTCAGTACGTGGTGCTGGATGAGGCGGACCGGATGCTTGACGAGGGGTTCGGCCCCGATATAGAGAAGCTGATGAACAGCCCCGGTATGCCTCCCAAGACCGAGCGTACTACTCTGATGTTTTCTGCAACATATACCCCAGAAGTTCTAGAACTCTGTAAGAAGTATCAGAAAGAGGTGATTTTAATGTTTTGATTATCTTAATTACCTCCCAATTAGAGACTAATGTTTATGATCCAAGGGACACAAAGTTAATTTGATTTTCATTTTTGTTTTTGTTTACTGAGCTGGGAACTTTAAACTGGGATACCTTTAATCCTGACTGTTTAATCCGAATATCCAATGTGGACACTTAAATCCACTCTTTTTGGATATAGTATACAGGGTGTCCCATTAAACATGGGAATTCAGTGACGAATTAGATATCGTCTTTTAAGATAATTTTTAATTTAGTATAGTGATACTTACTGAGAAAGCTGTAATCTGTAAGAATTTCGTCCGCTATGTTCACATTTTGTTTATGTTTTGACTGCATACGTTTGTACTTAGTAAAACAAGAAAATTGCTGTATACAAACAGAGTAAACTTGTCCGTCTTTACTGTTCATCTTGCGGAGACATTATAGACATATCTTTACAGTATTTTACCCTTTTCATAAAATAAACTCAAAATAATATTATGGCTTATGAAATTTGGTATTACAGTGCTAATTCATAACAAAGACGATATCCAATTCGTCACTGATTTCTCATGTTTTTTGGGACAACCTGTAGAAAAATCAAAAGCCGGTTTTCAATATTAGAGTTCCTCCCGTTTCTGTATTTATCTTAAATGGCGCGCAAAATTATAAATTTTCCGGCTTTTTATACCCTACTCTGATTGGTTGAATTTTATACACTTTTCAGGATACAAGTACAAGATTAGTTTGTCTTAATATTAAGAAAAGATTAGATCACGCATTGATCTCAATGTCCACCATTCTTAAGTTTTCAGCTCTGGTTAAGTTGGTCTCTTCGTCAAATGTTTATGTAAGCCTGGCTAACACCATTAAACATGCCTGTCTTCATGTCAGTTGTTTACTTTAATTGTTTTTTACTCATTATTCGTACTTGTTTTTATGCTCATTGATAACAATGATTTATACCATGTTTAAGTTTACAATTTCTTCTCTCTAACCTCTGGGTTTGATGTTTATTTTCTGGCGTTTGATCTTTTTTATTTGATTTTGTTTCTGTTATTATTGTTCGGGATTGTCTTAATGTTCTTAATGTACATATTGACTGTTTTATTAGTTATCATTGCCTGTTTGTTCAAATTATTGTCAATTGTTACCACCTTATTTATTACGTCATTTTTAATATTATTCAATGTTAATTGTTCAGTTGATCTTGCTCAATCTTAGCTTACTGTCAGAATGCTCTTTGTCAGTAAAATACTCAATTTTATTTTACAGGACGTTATCTCGATAACCATGGGAGTGAGTGGAACTACCTGCGCAGACGTCAGTCAGGAGTTCATCAAGATCGACAAAGAGAAGATCTGGAAGAATAAGATGTTAAGCGAACTGCTTAAAACTTTTATTAGAGATGAACTCATCATTGTTTTTGTCAAGAAGATGGAACAGGTTGATTTTCTGGTAAGAATTCTATTTGATCTTTTAAATAAGTTGGGTACAGGGTTGCCCCCAGCGGATGAGTATTTAAAGACGAGCTTAAGCAATTCCTACTTTCATTTGTGTTATCTATGATTCCCACCAACTATGAAATTGTTTCTAATATGCCCTTCGGCTCAAGACTTCATCAAACCTTGAAATTGTCCTATTTTCATGTTTCGTACTGGTTGGTAACTCGGTATTTTTATTGATCCTCATCTCGTAGGTTGTGTTCATCGTTTTGCTTCGTTTGCTAATAAGTGTGTTTGCTGTTGAGTGTGTTTGCTGTTAAGTGTGCTATGTTACATGTAAGAAAGATGAATTTTGTAATTTCTTAGCTTTCCAGATTGTTTTGGAAACTATTAAATCTACGGTATGTCGGCCTTACGTTCTTAATCTTAAATATGTTTAGTCTGCAGAGCTCTGTGACATGAATAAACCAGCCACAAGTATTCACAGTAAGTACATTTTTACTACTAATATGGTCATTGCTTACTGCTTAGGATCTGGACGTAAAACTAGGGCTTTTTTGGATACGAGTCGGCTAAGAGGGCGAAAGTTTTATCTATTTTTTTTGTTAGCTCTTTGGTAATCGAGTGACAAATCTGAACTGATAAAAAAGAGATTATATTGCAAGTTATGGGGAAAAAAACGGGATTTTTATGATCAAAATGAAATTGATCCTTAACGCTGGTTTGGGTCATTGAATGAAGGGGAAGGGTATATGTCCTCGGAATCATAAATGTTATTTCTGAATCTATAATTGTTGAACATTTTTCAGAATTTTTATTTATGGCTAAATAACATTTTAGGCAAGCGTTCTCAGCGTGAACGTGAGGAGGCTTTATATGACTTCAGGACTGGCAAGTATCCCGTCCTGGTGGCGACAGGTGTCATGGCCCGTGGCCTGGATGTACCCGCTGTACAGCTGGTCATAAACTACGATATGCCCTACGAGATTGAGGAGTATGTACACAGGTTTGTCATGAAGTTTTGAAGTATTAAATTGGATATTAATTTTATTCAAATAGCTCTAGGATAAACTGGGATACTTGAGAATTTTTCAACATTTTAACTGACTAAATTTTTCATCAAATGTAACAAGAGAGAAGCATATTGTTATGCAAATGTACGGACTGACCAATAAACTTGGAATTGTTCAACAAACCGGGTTTGGGATCCATTTATATCAAAAATAAAATGCAGGGTTTATTTGCATGCACTTATTAAACTAAAGCGATATTATAACTAAAGCTGTATTTTCATTTTATTGATGCCGTTTTTATTCAGGATTGGAAGGACTGGTCGTGTTGGAAATGTTGGAAGAGCAGTCACGTAAGAACATTATTATTAATAAATGGGGAACGTGGCTTTTACTGGAATTGAAAGGATAGCCAACTAATTAATTCTGCTTAATTGCGACCGTACACTTACGAATTTGCAGTAAATTAACACTTAACCATGACTTCTGGTTTCATGCTTGGTTCCCGGGTGGAGGGGGGGGGGGTGGCAGCTTGACCCAACTTTAATTTTCTTGAGATAAAAATCTATGGGAAGCCCTTGGGCTCTTCAATAATCGGCAAATATCCAAATATTTAGCGTGAAATTTAGTTGTCAAGTGAAAGTGAGCAAAAAAATGTGCAAATTGCAACAAGTTGTACATTTTTGAGATCTTGACCTTGAGATTACAAGATTTAAATTTTAGATTTTTTGAGCCTGCACGAGAAGGTAAACACGCTAAGAAGCTTATTGAAGTACTTACGAAGTCCAGTATTGAAATCCCGGATTTCATTGCTGAAGCTGCTGCTAATGCTCCGGACGAGGAAGAGTATGCTGCTGCTCCAGCACAGGAGGAGGAAGATGAATGGTAACAAGCTCCGGTTAAATCTAGAATCGGGATACTACCTCGTTTATCTAGATTTTTGAAACCATCTCGTTGTAAATCTAGAATCTGGAAACCACCTCTTTGTAAATCTAGAATCTGGAAACCACCTCGTTGTAAATCTAGATTCTGGAAACCACCTCGTTGTAAATCTAGAATCTGGAAATCACCTCGTTGTAAATCTAGACTCTGGAAACTGCCGTTGTAAACCTAGATTCTAATTATATTTGGGGGTTTATATATCTAGTAACAATTGTAATTTTTTTTTGACTTTATGTGTTAAGTATTTGTTATGTGATATTTTCGATTATTTCTTGGGTTACTATCCCACATCCAAATTAATAAATGTTTGTAAACCAACTTGATTCTTCAACGCTTTAAAATTGGAATCCAAAAACGAGAGGAAAGGACTGTTATGAGGGTATTGTTGTAAAACCATGTTCAACGTCGTTTCAAACTCAAATCTGAATACCTTTGCAAGCTTTTGCTGTAAACGTATGGTTATGATGTACAATACGCCTAACCTGCCAAACTTTAATAAATTCTTCACTGGGAGTTAACGTTCAAAAGTAACTCGAAACTTCTAGTAAATCTGACACAAAATTACTGTTAATAAAAGGGATAAAAGGTCGGAATTTGTTTGGAGATATTGTTGCACTACCATTTAAGAAATGGTAAAGGTTAATCAAGGTGAACATTATGCAAATTATCATTCAAACTGTGTCGTGGAGTATCGTCGGTAAAAGAGAATGTGATTATCTACAACTGTACCCATACAGGATTAGACTTTTAAGAGGATTAAGAGACGGCTTTAAAGAATGAATATATGTTGCATCTTTTATAATACATGCCGTCGCTATATTTTTAAAAAATGTATTTATTTAAGGATCGGACACTTAAAAATAATAATATTGAAAGGACGAGGATTTCGATGTGTTTCGGACGAGAAAATGAGGAGAATGTGGTTCGGAATAGAGATTGATGTGGTTGGCCTTCCTCCCCTCGCTGTAGAGTGGAGGAACGGTCTGCATAGCTAGGGAGGGAACCCCCGGACGCCATGAGCCTCTGCTTTTCAGACATCGAGCCTCTCAGATTCACTAAGCAGCCTTCACTATGCAGTTAACGAGCCTCCACCATACAGTACAGCTTTTTTTAAATCATGGTTTTTATGAGTGATAAAAACAATTTTTTTTGACGTAGTGGCATAAGAATTGTACTGAAGATTAGAGTTGTTCATTTATTGCCATGATTAGAAACATATACGCACTCATGAAGGGGTTTATAAGATTACGCAGAAAGGAAAATATTTTGAGAAATATTTCTGGAGTAAACTTGGTTTGTTTTGTTGTAATCTTTGATTTAAACAATACCTTTTTTTGAAAAATGATTTAATTAATAAATACAATTTTTTAAATTTAGTTTGAACTTCAAAAAAACGTATTGCTAAAATCAAAGATTACAAAAGATGAAATGAAATTCAAATCTAATTTTCTAAATATTTTCCTTTTTGTGTTAAAAATGTTTTAAGCTTAAGATACCATTTGATTAGTCATAATTAGGCACTATTTATGCTAATTAATAAATACTGCTCATCTTTGAGAAGCCTCTCATGCCAAAAAATGTCTAAAAATTTCAAAAAATCTTTTATTTAAACTTAAAACACAAGTTTAAAACACCTTCTGTATTACACAGGCATATATTGATGTGTTGCGCATGCTCATTTCTGCAAAGCGGAGGCTTGGTCTGCCTAGCAACTCTGGTAGGCTCGTGTCTGCATAGCAGAGGCTCATGGCGTCCGGGGGTTCCCTCCCTCGCATAACAGAGGCTTGGTCTGCATAATTGAGGCTCGGTCTGCCTAGCAAATCTGGGAGGCTCGTGTCTGCATAGTGGAGGCTCATGGCGTCCGGGGGTTCCCTCTCTAAATTAAATGTATTATGGCAGGAGAATTAAATGTATTATGGCAAGAGAATTAATGATTATTGTCAAAAACATGTAAATAAGTGATTGCGGAAATAAATACCCCTGTTCAATAATCATAGCTGGGGAACATCTAGTGTTTGTATAAATAATCTGAAAATTACCCAGGAAGCCAACTGCAGAAAGTTCCGTTAGCCTGAAACCCAAACATGATACTAGGGATATAGCTTGGCTTGGGTTGAACGTACGAGATCCCTGACGAGGCAGTCGATCAGCTCAATATCCGAATATGTGTTCTCAATAACCATAAGTTTTACTAATTTGTATTGTTAATTTCAAATTTATAGTATTTTAGAAAAAATAAAACGTATTTTAGGAAAATAAAATGTATTCTAAATATTACCATTAGGTCGTAAATCCAACGTAAAAAAGCGTATTTCTGTTTGAATTTAGTTATTAGTAATTATACTAATCATTAGTAAATCATGAGTTAATTCACGTTTGGACTTGCAAAAGGCGTTTGAGACTCTAATCTAGTTACGATCTCAATTAGTCGTTTTCAATCATTAAATATATAAAATATATTTATTATTCTAGAATCAATTTTATAATAACTAGAGATAACTCAATCACATTCTCTGATATTTCAAGCCTGAAGTTTAATTTATTTTCTCCCAATAACTATTTGTATTCTTCTCGTTCTGTTTGAGCATCTCTGCATCCTGAGGTTTGGAGAACTTGAACCCGGATTTGGTGAAGAAGGCGACCAGTAGAATCGATGCAATTATTCCTATATTTAAAACAGTGAGATAAATTTAAATCAATGAATAACACTTTTCAAGATTCTAAATGTTTATGATTTTCTGAAATCGAAGGAACTGATTACTTTCCTCTCACTGTTATTTTATATCTTTTCAACCTGATAATGCAAACCTTTGATATTCTACCAGATGAAAAGTTGCAGTTTGAAATATCAGGTTTTAACAAATATCGAGATTAAAAACTAGAGTCTGGAGGCGACTAATTAGTTCAGTTATAGCTTAAATTTGTATCTTTTGAAAATGTTCAAATATTATTTCGCTAAGATGGAAATTGAAATATGTTTTTAGTTAAATCTGTAAAAGTTTATTTAAAAAGTATTAATATTTTACCTGCTGAGAGACCCATAGCTACCAAAGCCCACTCAGAGAATGGTGTAAATACAGAACAGCTATCTAGGTAGACCTAGAGTATATAGTAAACATTACCCAACTACTAGGTATCTAGGTAGACCTAGAGTATACAGTAAACATTACTCAACTACTAGCTATCTAGGTAGACCTAGAGTATATAGTAAACATTACTTATCTACTAAGTATCAAGGTAGACCTAGAGTCTTAAAAGTTTATCGACATAAATCCTTCTGGCGATGCTTTATTATTTTTAGAAACTAAAACCAGAAAATTTTTATAACGTATATTCATTTAAAGAGACCATCGTTCTAATTTAAAGTCAACCTTGATTTAAAGTTGTGCATGTCCTATTCACAATGGTACTTCTTAAACCCCTTTAACGTACTATAGAAATAAGAAAGATACAGTTGATTTTTTTTGTCTCAAAAATAAAAAAATAAACTCAATCTTTTTCCTTCAGACAAAGATTTGAAGGGTATCTTTGTGAATCTGGAATGCATTACAAAATTACAACGATTTTCCCTTTAAAACATTTAATTTGACCTGGGTTGCTTTGAATTGGACTTCTAGTGAATCAGTTTCCATATTCAACCTCGTCCTATAAAGCAGTGCAAAGAAACTGATTACTCGCATTAAAGGGAGTGTAAGCGTAATTTCAAGTGACCCTCTAGAGTAATCAGTTTCTTTAGGAATATTAAAATATTATATTGAATTTAAAAAATAGAATAAAAGGAGATATTTGTAGTAAAACAAGATTGTTACTATAATCGAATCTTTAAACTTACTGAACATCATTAAATTAAACTATCTTTATTTAATTAAATAAGTGTTAATTTAACGATAAATTGGAGAAAAAATTTAATTTTTATATTAAAAAATTAAAATTAAAAATGTTATATTTTAAATTTTTATCCAGACAATAAATATTTATTTTACATTCAATATTAATATTTGATAAACCTCAAAACGGATAATTAAATGTATTATGGCAGGAGAATTAAATGTATTATGACAGGTGAATGCCCCTGACTATTATTCAACCACTTTTTTACCAAATAGAAAAAAGAATAAAAGAAAGTATTAATGATGATTACTAGACCCAACTTTATTCCTCGTCATTACTGCAACTAATTTCAAGAAATAAAAACATTTTCTGAGGTTAACTTATCACAATTATGCTTTTTTTCAGTCAGTAATCTTCCGTCACAAGGTGCCCCTAGGGGGATGAATATACAGATAAACAAATGTTAACTATTAACTTTTCTCTCGAAACATTGGAAAACATTCTAAAAACACAAATTCTATATGTGAACAGAGCTGCATGTTTTCGCAGTATATTAAATTTTTTTAAAAGTCGAATTTTTATAAGGCATCGAACTCAACCAATCAATGTAATGCACCTAAGTACTTTTACACCTTGTATTATTCAAACAAAAAGAAGAAAAGAAAAAAAAAATTCTTCAAAGGAATAGCGTTTTTGTCAAAAAACTGCGATTTTTTTATTCCCAATATCTTTGCAACACAATTTCGAAGATCTTTGATATTTCAGACTATGAATTTAATAAATTCAGTTTAAACATGCTTATATAAATTGCGTTGTACAATTTGTCCATGCAGCTAAATGTGCGCATTAGTAAATACGATATCCTGAAAAGGAGGATTAAGCAGAAATTTAAAAGTGTCCATGGTGGATATCGAAATTAAGTTGATCGAGATTAAGAGTATCAAACACAAAAGTTCCAAGCTCCGGTGTGAACAGTTTAACTACTTCTATCAGTCTTTAGAAAAATTAAATTCTTCGTAATTTAATCAAGTACCTATTGCTAATCTTACTATTCATCAAAATGAAGAAAATTATATTCTGAACAATTTAAACCTTGAAAAATGAGGAATTGTATCTATTACCCTTCGGGTTAACTATGGCCGGGAGGACCTACAGTGATTTACCAATGTAGAAGTGTCAAATATAATGGAAAATATAGATTTCAATATATCAATCTACTTTCGTTCAGAGTAAGTATATAAAAGATAAAACAAAACAAAAAGTTTTTTTCCGTGCGCGCCGGATATTTATCGAATAAATATTGTTAATTTTAACGAAAACGATATAAAAAGGTTGGAGTTGCCCCTATCCTTTTAATTTGCGGCAAAAACCTTAACAAAATCTTCCTAATTTATAATATTATAATTTATCCTTTGATCTAGATATCACTTTCTCTGGTTCCATCCTTCTAACCAACTTCAGACAAACTTCCCTGGTGGTAGGAAAACATTTGATTTTACATTTTTTGAAGATTTGCTGAATATTTTATAAAAATTAAATGTTTTATGGCAGGAGAATTAAATGTATTATGGCAGGAGAATTAAATGTATTATGGCAGGAGAATTAAATGTATTATGGCAAGAGAATTAAATGTATTATGGCAGGAGAATTAAATGTATTATGACAGGATCACATAAACTGGAAGAAAAATTAGAAGAATTGTTAGACTTTTCTCCATTTTCTTCGCAATTTTGCGTTTCCTTCACAAAGTTAATCATAGTTTGCCTTTTTCTCCACAAAGAGATTGGCGTTTTCCCCCATAGCGTGTTTAAGTAGTTTGGTTTGAGCTCCATAAGTAGTTTGGCATGATTTTATTAAAATAGTTTGTATTGTATTCTCCATAAAGTAGAGTTTAGCGAGTTATCCACAACGTAGTTTGATGTCTTCTTGATAAAGTGGTTTGGCGTTTTCTCCACTTTATGGTTCAAAGTCTTCTCCTCGGAGAAGTTTGGCCTTTTCCCCGACAAAATAGTTTGGCATTATCTCTTCAAGGATTTTTGCCGTTTTCCAAAGAGAAGAGTTTACCGTTTGCTTCACATTTCACATAGTATTGTTTGGTGACGTCACCTGCATCTCAATGCTTGATCCCTGTGCAGGAGGGTATAAACCCCACGGGATATCGGAGAGGAAACAAATGAATCCGTACGTGTGTAAAATATGTATTGTATGAATTGTATTTAGTAGATCAATGTTTGATCCCCAGATTAACAGCACAAAAGTTCTTATTTCAATGCACTTTTTCTTAAAAGAGTTCTGTTAAATATATATATTCAAACATTCTTATCGAGTTTTGTGCAAATAAAATATCCCAGTTTTTATTGAAAGGTTTTAAATCTCACAAATGTGGGAAGGAATTAAGTTCTTTCCACAAATGCAAATTTAACCATCCCTACATTTTTGCAACCTGATGGTTTAAACCTTTGATAATTCCACTTGTTTGATCTTACAGAATTAATAATTTGAAAAATCCAAGGTCTACGCCATCAGGTTGCACTAAAAAACAGGACTAAAAAGTCTGTGGCAATACTACAATAATGCGCCTAATGTGTTAATGGGGTCATGTCATGGCAGTAGAACAGAATAATCCAGGACATAGAATTCACTCGTGACTAACTTTAGAAGATTTAATTTTTTTTATTATTTTAAGTATCTCTGCTCTCATGCAAAAAATATTCATATTAAAAAATATTCATGTACAAGGCTTTAAAGAAGTAAAACCTAAGGCCACGAAGTTTCAACACTTCAAATTCGACCCGGTCTAAAATATTATTGCCTTATTTTCATTTTTTTATGCATTATTTTCATAGGGCTACAGAGTATGGATCTATGTGTCCTTTTAGCTAAAATTTTGAAATATAATGAATCATGAAAATCAAAAGGAAAAGGAAATGAAAGGGGTAAAGGGGGATGAAGGGGAGGGGAGGGGAGAGGCTCAAAAGTACCCTTTTTAATCGACTTTTCTGATAAATTTCCGATTTTTACTCCAAAACCCTGGGAGCAACTCCAAAACCCTGAGAGCACTCCAAAACCCTGAGAGCAGCCACCCCTCCCTCGGAGAGGGAAAGATGAGAGAAGAAGAGTATAGGGGGGTGATGAGAGGGGGAAGGAGTGGGGTTGGGGGAGTTTATTGACCAGTAGAAGAGAACTGAATTATCTTCAACCAGATCATATTTTACAAAGAGAATAATTTCCTTTGAACCTTCCTTTTCTTCCCTTTTCTTCCCTTTTCTTCCCTTCTCTTTTCATTTGAATTTATTTAATTATTTCCCAGTGTTCAGGACTCTAACATCGTGGTATAGGATTCCGATATAGAGCAACAAAAGAAAGTTTAGATTTGATTAATTTATCATAATTGTGCTGGTTTACCAATTCCCCTATACTTTCTCACGTACTGATGTACATAAAAACTTTCATCAAGTTTTTCCTAATTCTACAGTAACTTAATTAATCGAGTTTAAAGGGATTGTCTCCGTAATTTAATGGTTCTGTATGCGTAACCAAAATCCAAACGGGGATGGTCCGATTTAAGAAGGTACCCTCTAAACCTTTGACTAATTAAAGATCATCGAAAAGCTGCGTTTTTTTAATTGAAATATTTATTTTTTGCGACTTTATTAGGCAATGATAAAGGGTACTGTTGTGAATTGCCACTCTATAAATGAAGGGTCACTTAAAATCACGTCTACACTCTACAGTCACTTTCAGGAAACCTGTTATTGAACGCGCGGTATACCCTTTAAACTTTTATCGATGATACTGTAAATATTTTTGTGTTTTTCTTTGATTGATAATTTGACATTGTGCAGCTGGAGATTTTGTAAAGAGCTCAGGATTTACATTTATAGACCTAAAGTACATACATGCAAGAAAATGGCGGAGATGTGTCATAAGGATTTTAAAAATCCGATTGAAAATCCTTTTAACGTCTATATTGTTTGTTGTCTTGTCTATGTATTTTAGTCGATCAAACTTTGTAGTAAAAGTAAACAAACCTGAATAATCCCTCAACTTTGAGGACCACCCTTCTCCATATATCTATGATTATGTACTTATTAAACTTTTTAAAGATCTGTAAATCCTGAATTTGAGAACTTTAAATAGTCCGCACAGCAGTTGTGCAGTGGAAAAAGACCCATTTTATTTAATTAATGTATTAATGTAGTTATTTGCTTTGTAACAACATCAAATGCACTTCAGTATTGCTTTACTGTCGTCTTCCCATTCTACAGTTTTCTGGTTATCACTGTTAACTTTATACTGCTTAGACCTGGAGTTCCTTTTCTGAAATTCAATGGTGGTTTACAATATAAGTAATTGTCTTATTTTGTGTTATGATTTTCATATCACAAACCCCTGGTCTAATTTGCCCCAAATTGAGCTTGGGGATTTGCTTTGTTAGATAATTATTTAGATATCTGGCAACGCTGGGTTTCCAAGCTATTTGGTTGAGATATTGCTTTTTGTGTTCACTTCTGATTGGTTAAACCATTGCTTACTTTATTTTTTGCGATTTTCCACACTAATTATTGGTCAAGGGCCAAGGCTAGGGGAAATATATTGTTATACTAGTTTGGGAACCCCGTTACTAAAAGTTACGTCACTGTTTACCCGCACTGAACAATTTTACCGGCAAACTAAATTTTCGCTATTAAAGTAGACCCACTTAGAATCTCAAAACCAAGCTAAAAGCATACCCGTGGGGCTCCCGAGTTCCCCAAAGAAAATTTGAGGCTAATCGGTCCAGGGGTTTTTGAGTCTTATTGGTCAAACAAACA